GGGTAGAAATGCAGGTTTGTTCTTCGTTTTCTTCCTTCAGATACAGAAAAGATATGCAGCTGTCTAGACAGGGAACACAGTTGTCCTTGTGCAGTGAGAAGGAAAAGAAAAACAAACAAACACCGGGTAAATTTTCTGCAACGTCTACAGTTTTGTTGTGGCCACTCAGAGCATACCTCTGTCTCCAGGGCTTGAGAGTCTGATCTGATTTTGCAACGTATCACTTGAAGGCACAGCTCTTTGCAAGATCAGGGTGCATGTGGTACCTGTGAAATTAATACACTTACATCACCAATATCAAGGAGGATCAATGAATAAATAGAGACATAAGCATTTTTATTCAGTGTTTAGAGAGGTGCATTCTGTCAGCTTATAAAACATTAGAATTAATCACATATTTGGAAATTAAGAGATGGCATTCATTAAGATTCATCACTCCTATTGCTTTGGTGAAAGGTAGGTTTTTCAGCTGCTTTCGCAGGAAACAAAACAGAAGACACACCACACACACAGACACAGACACAGACACACACACACACACACACAGAGATCTTGATAGTACAAGGACAGAGCGGGGAACACGGCAAAATGAAAGAATCCGTTTGTTTTATATCCCTCATGAAGTAAGCAGTTTATAGCATTTAGCTGTTTTCCTTGTTTTCTCCTTAAGACACCATTCCCCTTCCAAGCTGTTCTCTCCTATACCGATTTTCTCCCTTAAAGAGTGTTCACTTTAATTGTTAAAGTTTATGGACTCATGGGAGAAAGGGCAGGAAGTCAGACTTCTGGGATAGGGTAAAAATGTAAAGGTCATTCACACGCTCACAGACACATACTCTCTCTCACTCCAAAAATAATACACTATTTGACAGTTTCAGGATTCAGCATGTCCCACTGAAATTTGAAAGCTTATGTGAAGCTAGGCCACGTCCTGTAACCTCAAACATTTAGTCTAGGAAAACAGTTCTCAAGTCTCCAGCTCCCACATCGGGTATCGCATGACGTCTGTGCCAAATAAGAGACCTCAGACTGGGCGGGGGGGCAACAGGAACGTTGGTAAAATGAGTTGATTAAACCTGGGGAATAACAGTTCAGACTCTTAGTGACAGGTATTATTTTTTCTGGTTAACAGGCTAGTGAAATATTAAATTATACTCAAAGCATCTATAACATGAGATGGGCAGAACGGTCAAACAACCTACTTACGTTCCATCTGGTGGCACGGAGCAAGGAGAAAGATGACTCATGCTTTGCAACCAAACTATTTTACCCTCCCCCTCCAGCATCTTAACTGTTAAAAATCACAAAAATCATGTTAAGTTTGAGGTTCAATATTTCCTCACACTGATGCATCCTAGCACATCAGACATCGATTACATTTAATCTCTTTAAGTTCAGCTCTAAACTTTCCAGTAGTTCCACTTGTACTCTGCTCTTTCTGGGGAATAAGCAATTAATCCTGTGTGGTCTAAAGGATCATTGTTTATTTTCCCTCACCCAAATGTACTCTTCTCCCCCTCTTAAACTGCAATTTCAGTACAATGCTCAAAGAACATATGGAATGTGTAAAACAATCAATACAATGAGATGAGCCAAACCACTCATAGCTTATGAATGGCTGTAAACCCTGCTAAATGATGCTAACTTGAGCAAATAGGAGGGAGAAGGCAGCTTCACATCTATGAAGCAAACAATTGCTCACTGGTTCTTTTTTTTTATTTTGAAATACCCTTTCTACTGCAAATACAAACCCGAGCCATTTTCTTAACAATTTCTGCAGGTCAGTACTAAAATTGTACCTTTCATCATGGTGGCAGGTTTTATTTACTCATCAGCAATGGTCACTAACAGCCTAAAGTTTTAGGCTCTACTCCAATTCTGGTTTTGAGATGTCATCCTGCCGCAGAAAAACAATTGATACTTCTGTTTGTTACCTCTTTTATCGGGAAAAATCTCTAATTGAAATCTTATTTCTAAAGCGAACAAACCTCAGGTAGCGTCTCTGATTTTCACATACACAGAACGTTTCTATCCTTCCTCTAAGTCGTACTATATATTGAATTTCATCAAAAAAAAAACCCCAAATATTATTAACCAGTCTTTGAAATGGCATAGTCTCAAAAATGGGCCTAGCTGCACCATCAAACAAGATAACATGGAGTGTATGGACAGATGTTGCTAAGTTAACAAATTACGATGTATTCCACCCTTTGCTAGTCCTTAAAAGGAGGATCATGGACCTAGCCTGGACATCTTGTTAAGAACATCTCTGCCTTCAGAGCTCTTAGAAGACTGCTAATTATTCTGCCAGAACCGGCAGAAACTTGAACTCTGACCAGCCTTACCCGCAACACTTGCGGCAGTTGAATGCACTAGAGAAATCAGAGTTGTATATTTGCTCTTTTACAAAGAAAAGTCTGCAGTTCAGTACGTATTAGGCATTTGTATTCTGTGACTAATCACATCCTCAGAGGATACGTAGAGTCCAACAGTACACACACTTTTTTAATTATTTAAAGGAGTGCTTATATTTGTTAGGTTCAAAAATTCCTAGCTAAACAGCTGTAGAATAGGATACCCTGACAAAGGCATCGAACTACATATGCGTGCAATTATATTGTAATTACAATTTTAAACTAGATTATGTAAATATCAACTGACAGAACAATTAACAGAAAAAGCAAGCAACAAATAGCAAAGTCTTTTCTTCACTTAATGACATTTGTAACAAAGCTAATGAAAGCTCTTAGACAAAAAGGGAATGAATAGTATATATACTATTCACCAGGCCTCTGCAAATTGAACCATAACTCCCATCTCTCCTAAAAGTCACTCTCCTAGCTTGTACCACCACAGGATTGCTTTTGCAATTCTCCCTGGCAGCACACGGGAAAGCTGAGACTGCGTCATCCCTTTGCACAGTCAGGAGCCCTGCATCTTGCCATGTTAATCCACTGGCCTCGAACATTGCAGGCACAGCCGGAGTTTTATAATCAAACACAGAAAACACTCCATGTTTGTGGGAAGAGAGTCCTCTCTTTTTTGAGGAGAGAGAGATGCCAATATCGAAAACCAAGAAGTCGCTGGATCTGCAAGTTCCCAGATCTCATCTACAAGGTCTCTGTGAGTGACCTCCATCTCAAGCATTTAAATGTGCAGCAAAATTACAGCTGAACCACAGCTGGGAGCTATAACAGCCCAAAAGTTATAGCAGCCCAGAAGTGGTAGCTTCACAGACCTGAGGAAAGGAGGGTAAGGTCTGTGAGACCATGAATCTAGCTGCTGAGAAGATTACTTTTCCCCATTTCAGTAGATCAAAACTCATGAGGAACACACACTGTAGGTAAAGCACATGTTAAAGCCTCAGATGCTTACATAAATGCTTTGGACACATGGAATGAATTGATTTGTATTTACACTGAAAGCTAGAAGCTACTGAGCAACACTGATCGGGTAAGAGATCACCCTTACTCTTTTTTTGACAAAGATCCAGAAAACACCGTCGAAAAGCCTCAACTTGCTTTCATAAGCAAAACTCCGCTGAGGTTTTCAGCAAGTATTGCTGGTTCCTGGCCCTCTGACTGCGGCCTTGGGCAGGCCGAGTGCCCAGAAGAGGGGCACCCAGCATCACAGCGACCCAGGAAGCACTGGGGGCTCCCTTTGCCCCGGCAGCGAGGAGAAGCTCTGGCTCCAACCCAGACTCACGAAGGCAGAAGGTGTTCGTGTAGGCTTAGGGCCAAGAAACCCTACGAGAAAGGACAAGCTGCTTTTTCCTCTCCAGGGCAGGGCAAGCTTGCCGCGCCTACAAACCCCCTTCCCTCAGCCTCTCTCGATTTCTTCCTCCCGGCCCAACTCCTCCGTAGCGCTCGCACCCGACCGGACCCTCCGAAAGCGGCGCACAGGGAAATGGGTGGACGGACCCTAAAAAAATGCGCTCCCTTAGGGTGACAGGCATGCCTCGCATCCAATCAATGTCGAGAGCGCCGCCGCAGGGGCCAATGGCGCGGCGGGGCGGGCGGAGGCGGCTGCGCGCCGGGAGCCTTGGTAACGCGCGGGCCGCGTGAGGCGAGTTCGGGTGCTTGGGTCCGGTTTTGCCCCGCAATGAAGATCGAGGAGGCGAAGAG